TTTTAAGACTGTGTTTAAGACAGTCTTAAATATTAAGAATCAATTATAAATATCTTTTATTGCTTGAAATATGAATCATAAAATAAATATTAATTTAAAAAAATAAAATTAAATAAATATTGATAAATGATGTCACTGAACTTAAATAGTTTACTAATTCTTAAGTAAATCCTCAAGTGCTGAAAAATTGCTTTATTGTGTAACAGTGATTAAAAGTAAAGTAAAATATTTAAGATATTTTTAAGAGCTAATTCTCTCTTTAATTTTTGCAATGAAAAATGCGAAAAACTTGAAAAATTTTAAGACTGTAAAAAAAGATATTAATAAAAGATATTTATAATTGATTCTTAATATTTAAGACTGTCTTAAACACAGTCTTAAAATGTCGTAAAATAATTATAACAGAGCCGTATTAGTATCTTAAGACATTATTTGTAAATATTAGCCAAGGATTAGGAACAAGTGAATGGAGGAGCGCGCGCCGACCCTGAGCGCCGCATGGATAAAAGCGATTATTCGTTAACTTTAACCAGCTCTCCTGACAAAATTACTTGTCAGATCAAAATTTGCTAAAGGAAAAAGTTGTTCCTTTTAGCACAAAGTATAACGTCCTGTACTCCGAATGCGCCAATTCTGGGACACCCTGTATATAAAACGAAATATTGGCAAAGAAAAAAAAAGAGACTGACAGACATACAGAAATCACATCAAAGTTACACTGAGAAGATGACAGTGTTCGGTGGTCAGGTGGTGGTGGTGGTGTTGGTGATGTGAGGAAGGGGGGCGCTACACTGAAACATTCAGGCCTCTTTGCACAACGGCCAGTTCACAATTATATTTAGATTAATTATATCAGATAGGTAGACAGAAATCAGCATTTAGATTCCTCTCGAGGAATGAGTTGTCTCAGGTGGCGGCAGAAAAAAAAACCGCGTAGAAAGCCATTAATCAATTATTGCAAAACACAAATAGAGAGGAGGACTATCTTATCTAAATGCTGACATTTGATTTGCTCAGTGAGCAGAACCTAAGAGTAGGAGGAAAGAATTTACTGTTTCGTCAGTTGCTTAATATTGACAGTGTCCTTGAAAGATTGATTCAGTATCGTGAACTATAGGAATTAGTAAAAGAAAAAAAGTACATCGTAAAATTCGATAAAAAAATACGGACTATAATGTAAGCGGAAATACAGTAGATATACTACAAACACGATCTGTACTATATTTACTAAAATGAGTTATCAACTATCTGTGTATCCTTTTGCGACATGATTTATCGTACGTAGAAACTGAAGTACAAACGAGTCTTAAGACGCGATTTGGACAGTACTCTTTCCTACAGAAAACTCTCAGGTTTAACTAATCACTTAAGATTTCAGCATTTTAACCATTTGAGGTAAATTAACAGTTTCAAAAATAATATAACACTGAAACATTTTATATACTTGGTAAACAGTCCGAAACGCGCAAATCCCTCGCAATTGTTATAGATGCCGATTGCAATATTTTACAGCGCTTATCTCACGTGAGGTGCATCGAGAGCAAAATGGCACAATTTTGAAAATCCTCAAAAAGTTAAAAATCTCAACATTGAAATACATTATTGCAGATGAGAATATTGCACGGTTGTTCACTACAAATTAAGTAGCAAATTAAAATAGTATAAAGCATTCAGAGCATGCTGCTAATTTCGTTATTATTATATTCGTAGTTTAATTCTAATAGTCCTCTGAGAAACAATTTTATACTCTCTAACAGATTTTCTAACAGGTTTTCGATTTTCGCTTTAGCAATTGTTATCGAAAAGTCAACAATTGGGACATTTACTCGACGTGTAAAACTCTAACTGCATTTGTTCCGATCTATATATAATGTGTTTTTCAAACTTAGTGCTACTGATCTAAACAGAACACAATCATATCATGTGGATGCATTATCTATCAAATATCGCGATATGCTCACTTAATTAGTAGTTACTGCTCTTGAGAAAACAAAAACATTCTAGGAAAATAATAAACATGTGGCTTTCAAGTGATTTGCGACAAAATCACATTTTCATACTCCACGACCTTTTTTTTCGACGCTTCGCAAAAAATCTTTAAAAACAAAAATGTCCTCATATACACGTTCTATTTGTACATGAGGTGTATATATATATATATATATATATATATATATATATGTATATATATACATATGTATATACATATATACATATATAAATTGTGCTTTTATATACACATATCTGTATATAATCGTATATACACATCTTTCGCAATTGACGTATATGTAAGTACCAGTTCAAGAGGAATAGTACATCTCAGCTCCGAAATAAAAAAAAAAAAAAAAAAAAGAAGTGCGTTTTTCATGTACAATATGTACCTTTATTCTGGAAACGGCTTCCTCCGCCTGGCACATGCGGGTCGACTTCGTCGGCTGACCTTCGCATACCAATTGCGTAGATCCCAAGTACCTCGCGCGGAACAGGACACCTTCGATCAACACTGACGGATCATCCAACAAGTCTGAAAGAGGCACAGACACGTACCATTTAGGATTTTTCGTCCCATCTCCCTCGCGTTGCAGTGCACCGAAGGCGGCTAAGTGCTCGGAAGAACATTGGGGTAATCTAACAGACGACATGATTATAGTATAGTCCAATAACGGATCCACTTGTTCCATTTCGTTCGAATCTTCAGTAAATGCCCTCATATTATGTAACGATATCATTAAATAAAATTATAGAATCTCTATAATCTCGCTGTTTCCCGCGACTAGATCGACTAACGCGCTTTTCATTCTCCGTTACTATATCCACACACAGAAATTATATCGTGTTTGACTTTGATTAATTTACAATATACGATAGAAGCGCGACAAACGATTGTACACGAGATGCGCAGCCACATCACATTGAAAGATTATGACACTTATGAAATTCTTCAATACGCCGCTTATCAATATAATTGGTGACCTTATCGAGGAATACAAACAGAGGAATGTAAATATCTGAACACCTCAAATCTCTACGAGAGTCATCTACAGACGGCACATACGATAAATTTAGAGATACATCTTGATAAAACATATCACGCGTATTAAAACATTGTTACCCACAAACAAGATAGAAACACTGGATTATCGAGAAGTATTATAAAAGCGTCAACATAATATCGTACAGCGATAAATATATTAATTTTGAATTACGGCTATCTGTAATAACAGTATAACAGTATATACTTTAATTGTTATAAAAAATATATATATAAATATATATGCATCTATAAAGAATACCTACCATCAAATAATGATTAGAAGCAGAATTTATATATCCGAGCAAGCAATAGAAAGAGAAATATTATATTAGCATCATAACGTTAATACTACTCTGATGATTAAAAAATCGTTAAGGAGTAAAAAAAGAAAAAAACAATTTTATTGATAAGAATGCAACTGTACCTTCTTTGTTTCTGCTCTTCTTCTTTCCCTCCTTGTCCTGAAAAATAGAAGAGACAATGTATTTTGCATGATAGCACAGATAAAACTTTGATAAATACGCTCGCAATTAAATCTCGTAAATATCATGTATGTAATCACTTAAGCTGTAGGATGTGCTAACCATGCAGAAACTGCTATGTAAGAAAGCTAATAAACATTAACATGTCCCTACTTACGTCTAGAAACAATAGTGGTAACAATTATAATAATATAATAATAATAATAGTAATAGTAAGGTAGTAGTAGATAGATAAATGCTATCGCAATTTTATAATCCCTTCCTCTTACGAAGCAACATATTGTAATAATTATATATTTATAAAGCACAGAAAAAAATTACGAGTTATTCTTAATTATATATTAATTTTCGGGATATGAGTTTAGAGCTTAAACTAGAAAAAAATATCATATAATATGTAAGTGAAGTTTAAACTTATTATGTTCATACATTTTTTTCTTGTTTCGTTCTGGATACTCCTTCCCTCGAAGGAATATATAATTAAAAATCATCCTGTATAAAGCACTTCATAATCATTGCACTATTTGCGGATACGAAATAATCTAATATGCGATATTTCTTATAAACGTTGAAACGATGTTTCCGTTACAAATTAAAATAAGCACAATAAGCGGAAGCCATAAAGGAAAACTAAAGCAATAAGATAAAAAAAAGTACCTTTTCTTTTTCTTAAAAAAAAAATCAGCTTAAACATTTTTATCAGATATTTTCTTAATTAAAGCAAAAAGTATTTTATCTTTCTATCAATATCTCTCTCTCTTCATAAAACTTGTATATTATTTTAAATAAACGTTTCAATAATTATAAAATATCTACATGTTGTGTGATAATACATTTTAATTAGATGACAAAGATGATAAAGTAAATGATATTTAAGCTGATTAGTACATATTTCGTTTAGCAACAGAAGGATAGTACTTGTCATGCACCAACGTGTGCTATTTTACCGCAAGCTCGCTATAAGAAATATAGATATCTATGGTCACTAATAATAAAAAAAAAAAAACAGATTCCGTGGTAGCATTTGAAAGGGCACCTTTTTCACCTTGTTGTTGGATTCCTTGAGGCTCTGAGGGGATGAGGGGGAGTTTTTGACTGGGGTCTTCTGCGGACTCGATGTAGGTTGCGCGGGAGTGGCTACTTCGCACTCGTTAGAAGACGACGATTGTATAACAGACACTACGAGAGGAGGGGAGATCGAGGCAGACGTCGAGGGTATGGGCTCGGAAGGCGCTAGCGTTTCTATCGGGGCGACACTCAAAGATTTGGGAGGGGTTTGCTTTGGAGTAGCGACTTTCGCATTCATTGGTGGTAACATAGTCCTAGTCTTAGGCTTCCTCCACCCCTGCATAAGACACCAAGACGATATTAGTAAGAACACCGATACCATCGAATCGCACAGAATACAGGAAAATGTAGATTATTCGTATCCTTTTTTTTTTTCCTGACTTTAAACGCATTAGCACCGTCTCAATATTACCTAGTAGAAAGTTGTATAAAGAGAGTGTATATATATATGATATATATTGTGTGTCACAAGTGCGCTGTAGCTTATTTAGTTTAGACTAAGTGTTCTCGTTTAGGAAATGGGATTCGTGGCTAGAACAATGAATAATAAGAACAACAAGATGAAATGGAATATTAAAAGCGCCGAGTGTGCCCACCTTGTCGTCGTAAAATCCTTGATCGTCCGTTCTCTGTTGCCCGAGCAACCGATCCGTTTCGAGATCGGTATCCGCCTCCTCCTCGTCCGGGCACTCCTCAATTTCCACATCGGCCTCGTCACCTATACGACGCGCATCAGATTCTTCGCTATTGCTTTCCATACAGACTCTCCGCCTGCCATCCATTATACTGCATCTTAGTTAGATGCGTTTACACGCAACACAGAGGTATCCCGAAGGGTATCCCAAACGTATATACATATATTCGATGTCGTAAAAGGGGGAACGTTCGCGGTGGCAAGTAGAGAAAAGTATACCGAGGCAAAATAGCAGGACAAGTTTCAACAATTGGAATACCCTTTAGCCGCATGAGACAAAACGTAAAATACCTTGGTATCCATATCGGACTAACGCTCGGCTCCGGTGGCTCTTCCGACGGCGATTTCACAGGTAGAGTTTTAGTCCTTTGCAGGGCCATTCTAATGTCTTTGATGGCCGCTTCCACCTCGCCGCAATTTACATCCAAGGACACACTCTGCCGGCCTTGAGGCGCCGGCGGCGGCGGCGTGCCCAGCGGATCCAACCCGTCGAGCTGCAGCTCGTTCGTGTCGTACGAGTTCTCCTTCTTCGCGATAAACAGATCGGGGGACGTGGTCTTCAGCGTGTGCAAAATATCCTTCGTCACATTCAGACTGACGTCCTTCCCGGAGTCGTTCTCGCTCGTGCCCAGCATGTCGTTACGAGTTCGCTGTATGATCTCCTTCTCGATCTCGTTTATCTGCCGTTTCATGAGCATCACAGTGGGATTATTGTTGTCAGTGTCGCTCGCGTGTCCGCTGGACAGGCCGTCCTCCAGCACCGGCATGCTAGTGTATATTCTCAGGGAATCCGAATTGTTCCCCAAATCGCCGACCGATCCGAGAAGGCCACTTGCCGGCATCAATTCGTTATCCATCATCATGAGGGACACCTCGCTGTCCAAGTCGCCGCAATTGCTGTCGCAGTCGGTCGTCTCCGGGCTCAGTGTAAAATTGCGCGAGTGTCCCACTTGCAAACCGACCTCGGTCTCGCCAAGATCTTCACTGCTGCCAGTACCTACCGAGAGGTCCAGGAAATTGTTTTCGTGTTCACCTGTCTAAAAAAAAGAGCAGAAAAAACCGAGTGTAAATATTTACCTCGTAATACCGTTATGACTGTTCCAAATCGTGGAAAATTCCCTCAAGTAAACTACACGGTGTAACTTAAAAACTGCATCTATAAATACAGCAGATTTATATATAGAAGCTATGTGACTGCTGGAGGAAATGTAATTTCCATACGTCGGTAATTAATACTTTAAAGTGCTGTTAAAAGTACAATATTTGCATTACCAATTACTCTTGTTTATTACATCCAATTTACATAAATAAACATTACTAATCTTACGTGAAACTTTTCACCACAGAGGAAAATAAAACTAATGCTTCTCGAACAAAGAGAAAAAGTAATTGTCAAGACAATGTTTCTCTATCTTAAATACTATATCACACTTACATTTTGGGGAAATTCCGCCCGTTGCTTCTTAGGAGACTCGTGTACCATAACCTCCTCCGTTGCGGGTGGACCGCTGGCTAATCGCTGGCCAACATACGCACTTCCACCTTGCCGCCGTAATTCATAATCGAGATCCTTGCAACAGAAAGTAATTTTTTAATCATTTATAATCTATCAAGTATTAATCTGCTCTTCATTATACATGCATATATATTCTTAAATATCCACTTAGATTTTTCGTAAAAATATCAATTCTTATGGATATATTTTTCTAATTACAAACTATACACATTTATTAGATAGATTCTTAACAAAGAAACGAAGCATCTTGCAAACAAATATTTGAGAACTTTTTTTATGCCTCGGCAAAGAACTCACTTGGAAAGGAAAGGATTCGATATTGTTTTCCTTCTCTTTCGTCGGCGCCGGGCATTTGAAGAATTCCTCCAGCACTTTCCGCGTCTCTGAAAATTCGTACAAATAGTCGAAGGTGCTACCACCCGGCGAGACAAGACTGCTTATATTATCAGCCGGCAAAGTCGACGGCTTTAAAGAGTCCTCCTCTTCCTCTTCGGCCTTTGGCGACGGAGACGAGGGATTTATAGGCTGATCATCGGTGCTAATATTTTCTATCACAGTCTGGTCTACCACGATTTCTGCAGAGATGTCTTCCTTCTTGGAACATAAGGATATCGACGGCGATACGTCAGAGACTGTTAAATCATTCGATATAATTTCACTAATGTCATCGCTTTTACTACCTCATTGTGATTTGGTGTTGTTGGCAATACTCTTTGCGGGAAACCAGGCCTCGGTGTCATGTACACAGAAGGTGACGACATTAAGCTAGGAAGCTGGGTATTTTCGCGTACTCCATAACGTCTCGGACTGCCGGAGTACTGGGCGATCGGCAATTCACCGATCACTCTCGCGACTTTGTGATTACGTTCCGGAGAGGGCGAGTCTGCCTCGCAGTCGCTCGCTGGCGTGACAACCTGCAAAAGTGCAAAGGGATTCGTGGAGAGATTCTTCGCAATTACGCGACACGTGCGTGAGTCTCTCGATTGTATTGCAAGTGTGTTACTTTGAAAAATTCCGAAGTATTGCGATGATATGCCGTCGTAGGACTGGGAGTACTCCCGACGCTGGAACTCGGCGGCTCCGGGGCGACGCGACCCCTCTGCGAGTCCCCATCCGTCTCCAGGTCCAGGCTCGTCGTCGTAACCTGATTCGTATTGCTCGACGCCAAGTCCAGCCGCAGCCCCTGCCAATTGTCGTCGATATCGTCGAACACCACGACCTCGCCGTCGCTGACGATGGCCATACTTCTCGCGGGAGTGTTGTGATTCGACTGATAGTCTACGCAGCTCTTTGGTAATCCATAGTCCAGATCGGTAATACTTTTCGGTACCGTGTACTCTACATTATTGCTATTCAAGATTGAATCGTAGCTGATTATGCGATTGCTGCGGTTGCTCTTGGGCGAGTCGTAATCGAGAATGGATTTCGCGGCGTTGCGCCGCACCGAGTGCACCTCGGAGGCGAACACGGTCTCCGTCACTTCTCGATTCGCACGTTGCTTCCTGGTCTCACCGCATCTGAAAGAGAAAAAGAAATCGACAATAATTTGTTAGAGAATATATAATAGAGATAATATAATATAATAGAGATCCTTGCACGGATCCTAGCATCGAATGAGCAAATTTAATTACCGGCTTCGTAACTCCCATATGGTCTGCGAGTTCGGGGACTTGTTATTCTTCTTAACCGACAGCTTATTATCAGTTTGAATGTCCTCGTTATTTATGGAATTTGACGCGGCCAGAAATCGCGACTTTCTAGCTGCCACCTTCCCTCGGCTCTGCGAGAATACCTCTCGGCCGCCAGCGATTTCTATAATTCTGCGGAACAATACAAGGTCTGTGTTAAGTACATATATATACCTACTGATTGTGACGATTTTTACGACCGCGAAACAATCCTGAATTATGCATTGATTACTTTGATCTCGCCTCACTCGAGCCCTTAGTGCTCATTGAAATTACTGACGCCCATGCGAGGAAGAATAACACTCGGACGGGGAGTCGGGATTCGTTCCTGCAACTCCCTGTCCATCGAATTCAACGTGTGTGTATATAGGTACGTGTTTCAACATTCACAGCCGAAAGCCGCTTTCAAAACATATGACTCACGGGAATGCATTCCGTATTCCGAAATATTCTACGCCAGCTCATTTCTATAAATCTTCGTCAGGCTCTCTCGCGGATACAACGGCGTGCGTGTGTTATAAATCTCTCGACGTCAGCTATCCGACGAGGGCGATGTTTGCGCAACGTATTACACCGTGCCGATGAGCGACATTCGCACCGTCGTCGACGTCGTCGCCGTCGTCGTCGTCGTCGAATCGCGCACGTGGACGGGGTCGGTGAGATTGGCGGAGTCGGCCGCCGACGAAAACACTCGCTCGACGTGTCTGACAGGCGGAGTAAGTTAACCCCAAAACTGGCGCGTGGCGGGTGCCCCGTGTTTCGCGCCCGCGACTGCATTTAGTGCTTACGGACCCGGTTAGACGGCGCCCGATTTCGGGCCGATTCGTCAATCGTCGGTCGTACGCACACTAATCCCGTATCGGTCCTTGGGAGAGGTAATACGGCCTTGTCGTACACCTGGAATGCTTTATTATTGAAAAATGTATTCATTCGGGTCCGCGCTGGCGCGGGGAGAGGGAATCCACACGACGGCGGCGAGACGTTCGCGCGGCGGGGAAACGTGTGTGTATTGTATTACGTGGAAGAAAACGGGCGCGACTTTTGAGCCTCGTATAACTCCCGTGGCGGCCATCTGGATGCGCTCCCGTCGCGCTCACCTTCGAGCAACGACCGGGCCTTATCTCGTCGACGATTTTGCAGGAGACCAACGTGTCGAACGTCTGCCGAGCAGAGGAGCTATCGCCGGATCAACGACGGAGCGAGACCGACCGCAGCGGGCAGCCCCCCGAGCCGGGAACAGAGACTCGCCCGTTATCTTCTCGTCGGTGTTAAAAAGTACATATATGTATAAAACACGTGAATTTCGGAACATTTAAAATGAAGGTAAATCGAATTCTACATCGTCCTTACAAAAATTTAATACTTATTAATAATTTTACTTATTTTGAGTATTTATATATATATATATATATATATATATATATATATATAAAATATTGCCACATAATTATTCTGAGTGTCTAAAGCACTAACTATATATATATATATATATATATAATTACTTATTTTGAGTATTACATATATATATATATATATAGTGAGTGCTTTAGCACTCAGAATAATTATTTGGCACTTTCAATATCAAATTTCCGTAAGGGTGGTTTCCATGCCAGAAAGCTCGGATCTAAAAATCCGTGGAATATTGGCAACTTTAGTTAACTCCGTATCGTATGTTGCGCGCGTGAAGTTTCGCCAATAATCGACAACTTTACGGGATAATTTGAAATTATCGGATATCCGCGTTCGCCGACTGCGCCCGAGCAAATACACGGGATCGAATGGAACACGACGAAAATATCGGAGAATAAAAGGTATTCGTACGTCTATCTGCATACGGATTATCGTTGTCGATAAGCGCGCGAGCCGCTCCGAGTGCCAATCGATTAGTAATGACAAACCGATACCACGCCTGAGATTCCTTGTGACCCTCCTCGTTCGTGAAAATGTTAAAAAGTTTCTTTATCTAACTGCGAGCTCCTATGGGGCGATAGCTCCGCTTCAGAGAACAATATAGGGTGAAGAGATATATTAGACGTCATTGGGCGCATTTATATATATATGTATATACAGCGGCCTTTACCCTTTCGCGTTCGACTTTTTTTTTCGACATTCAGTTCGACTGTTTTCTGGAAAATGGGAACGTAAAAACTCAAAATGGCAGGATAAAATATTTTCAAATTCTGGCGAAATTGCACGACGGGGCTTTTTGAGATCGCTAAATGCGAAAATGGTGTCGAACCACAGAAGGTCTAAAATGGTGGATTATCGATATGATGAAAAATAAAATGTCTCTAAATTCCAATGAAAATGTGTTATGGCTTTTATGGTAACAAAATGCAGAGTTAGTTTACAAAACAAAAAATATAACAAAATGTATAATGATGAGAACTACGTAACAAGAATCAAAAGTTTTGGCCTAATTTATACCGCAGTTACGCAAGTATTAACTAGCAAAACTGCAGTAAAATTCCTTCACCATGAAAATGCAAGAAATTCAAATAATTTATTCATATATTATAAATATCAGAAATTTATAACATCCGAGTATTTGAATAATCGCCACGCGAAAGTAACATTGCGCACCACAACCTTCATGCGCACATCAAACCTTTCCACGGTTGATCCGTGGGATATTTCGAATTATTCTATGCAAATAACTTTTTACACCTTATAATCATATTAATTACAATATATTTTTACTAGAGTTTAAGCAATTTACTTAAAATTATTTAAAAACCCTGCAGCTCGACTCTAGTAATTCAATATTTACCGCGACTTTTTAAACGCGCCAGAACTTGTCCTGCAGCAGCCGGATGTGAAAGGGCTGAAGTCGCGGAACCCTTTGATGCGAAATTGCGACGTGCGACTTCGCGCCGCGAAGAGTCGCGGGTCAGAGTTATCGCCGACGGCGAAGACGTTCGCCGCGTTTCGCGAGGAAAGCTCCACGCCGGAGGAAAGCGAGAGAGGGAGAAAAATATTTGCCGGGACGGATTACACTGTCACGCGGGCATATTGACTTGTTTGCTGTAACATCGGACAGCGCGCGCGACACATTAAACACGGCACGGAACGCGAGGAGAAGAGGCGGCCTGATATTTGAGTGACATTTCCGCCCGAGTATATCGTCGGTATTAAGCTTGAAATTAACGCTCCGTTGAATATACATGTGAACGTGTGGCGCGCGCTCGCTGCAGAGGGGGATCGTCGCTGCTCTCTCTCTCTCTCTCTCTCTGTATGCCGGGCCCCAGCTCTGTGTGGAAACCTCTGTAGGAACTGTATCGGCTATCGAAACCGGCCGCGCGCGCTCGCTCGTTGTGTCCGCTGTAGATACACAAAGACCCGGCACGTCAAATGGACTTTCATCGTGACGACGCGGACACGTTTCATCGCGAGCGCGAACGCTCGAATTTAACGTTCCGCGATACGACACGTAACACACTTTTGCGCGTGTATACACAGGTGTTCCGCACATATACACGTTGGCCACTTCCGCGCGCGCCGCGCGATTATCGATTCCTCCGCGCGATTTAGCCGTTTAAACTCGGTAATTCGAACGCTCCCCCAATTAACTTTAATTTCTATTTTAATTCGTTTTTTTTTTTTAATATTGAAACCGTGACCTTTAGCCGACACTTTTGGCTCTCGTACTATCACTGCTAGTGTTTTATTTTCGTCATCTGAATTTTTTTAAATATCCGAATAGATATTATTGATGATAAATAAATTTAATGATTTGTGAATAGCTCGAGTCCCGATTTTTAAATTGGAACAATTGTACCTTTATCTTCTCGTGTACATTAAAAAATATTCCTCGGCAATGATATTATTAAGGTACATTGCATGTAATGAACGAACGAAAGATTAATTCATTTGTCTCACATTTGGTTTTAATCAATTTTTATAATTACATCAGCCACAACGATGCAAAGAAGAGAACATTCATTAAAAATTTGATTAAAAGTCTCAACTTTTCTCCAAATTTTTGAGATTAAAACGTTTGTAAGTAATATTTTCGTTACCCTAAAGTGCGTCGACCGAAATAGCAGCGGCGAACTGCAAACATTCGCATGGCGGGCGTAAAGTATTAACTTTTCCGTTGGTAATAAATAGACCCGAGCCGTCGGTATTTTTAGCGTTAATTACATTTCCGCGGAGAGAAACGTTAAGCGATTCTTGATTACCTTGAATCGCGAAGCTTGTAGCTGGGGCCACCCTTGGCCGAGGTCAAAATGTACACGGGACTACCCTCGGGCCCGCTGTCGTCCTGCTGCGATTGTCCCTGATGATCGCTACCCGGCAGGCTGCCGTACTGCGGCGCGTCCTCGCTGCGTCCGGACGCCGAGGAGGAGCTCGACGAGAGCGGCTTCGTGGCGTGCGGCAGCTGGCCCTCGACCGTGAAACCGGGCACCACGCTCGCCGTCCTACGGGACAGCGAACCTGATTTTTTTCTGCCATTCGCTCGTTTCCTATACCTACGAACGTAACTTGGCACTCTTAACAATTGGCAGTCGATTAGAGGGAATATAATTGAAAAGAAAGGGGAGGGGGGAGAAAAAAAGAAAAAGAAGAAACGTTCCCGGTTTTCACCATTAAACCGTCTGCTTTAATGGTGGGAATAGACAGCGCATGTTTATTGTTAATTGAGGAGTTCGATGGAAACTATAATGGCTTCTGCAAACCAATGCGAATTTATCGCGCCCGACGCGCGATATCCAATAAGCATACATTGCAGCTTTGCACCGATGTTTTCTCAATCTAAAAGCTGTTTAAGCTGCGCGCTCATTGGACATTCCGTGGTGTCGCACTGGTGTGCAGGAGTCGTAACGCAACTTATCGACCTCTTCCCCTCCAAGGTTTTCCCACTAAAACATTGAAATTGTCTAAATAGTTGGCGGGAGAGATTTTTTTTACTCCCAAAGATATGATGCGCGACGTATTCGTCTATAAATTTAATTATTTTTTTTCTTTACGCTCCTTTCGCGATACTTTTGATCTTCATTTGGCACGTCTGTGATCCATCTGGCTCCTCAATTACACAATTAACCGTCCTATAATTTCGCCTGAGACGTCCAATGCAATAATTGCGTAATAAAAATGTGTGCGAAAATAAAATTTTTCATTAATATCTTGCGCTCGTAACGAGATAATTAAAAAGTGATACGATTGCTGTACAAAACTACAATTACTGATAAATTACTGTTACTAAAAAAACTACAATTATATAATATTGTTCCGCGCGAGCTTTTAATACTTTATGTATCATAAATTCTCTGCTCCGTGTTCTGCTTCGTAAAACAGGTCCTTAAAGTACCGATGCCAATTTCAGGCATGATGCTCTACATATTAGATGTACTGGAATACTAGACCCAAATCACCGTTATCTATATCGACTTTTTCTCGCCAGTACTTCCGGAATTATAACCGGAGTACCCCCCCCCCTCTCGATTAACCCGATCGTGACCCCGTTTCGCCTCCCTTTAACCCCTCCCCCCGTCCCTCCTCCTCGTATCGGTAAATCGGTTTTAACTTGCCTGTCGGAGGTGTCGCGCTCGAGGTCGATCATGTCGTCCGATATCGCGGAGGCGCTCGTCGACGTGTTCGTAGAGGCGATGGTGACAGCGGCGGCTGTTGCGGCGGTCGCGGCGGTGGCGGTGGTGATAGCGGCGGCCTCCGTCTGGCAGGGGCTGTCATGCGGCTGCTGGCTGCTCTGCGTGGAGGCCCCCGGGGCCGGGGGTGGTCCGCCCCTAGGCCGGCATTTCGGAAAGAGTCGATTTAAGTCGGCGTTCTCCAAGATCAGGCTTGTCATCGCCACGGCGCGTTCATGTCTCGCAGCAGGATGTCCATTCTGCGGGCATAGAGAGAAATGTTTGCGGTGTTAAACGCGGCGTGGATGAGACACAACGACGCGTTCTGTTAACGCGCGTTTCTCACATTTCTCGAGATAGATGTATACCGAACGGCGAGGGTGCAGGCGGCAGATCTCCACGCGCGATCTTTCCTCGTATTCTCCTCAACGTATTCTCGCGAATGCCTCTATCTGCCCGCACGTGTGTGTGTTATGTAAAGTGTTCAATGATGTACGCGTGTTTTTCTTCTCGCAGAGATCGAAATATTTCTTTAAAAAATATATATATATATTTTTTAATATTTCTTATATATTTTAAGAAATATTTTAAGAAATATATGTATATATATACATATATACATATATATATATTCAAAGATAGAGACATTTTTAACAATTTAACGTGCTGCTAGTTTGAAATCCCCTGTGAAGATAGATCACTTTGGAGTTATCTAAAGGGGTCATCGTCGAAATGTGTGTACCGTTGCAATTTCGAGCCGCTCTGTACATATACGCAAATGAAAAATCTCGTCCCTTTGCTCTAACGAGGTCGTACTCGCGCGAGAACAATCCGCGCCACTCAATCCGCGCCGGCACTCGTGTGCGCGACACCGCGAAAGTGTTATACTTCATACAGAGCCGCGGTGCGAGTTCAAAAGGGGATTGGAGCGCCGCGCGCGCGGTGAGGGTTGGATCAGTAGTATGTATAGGGGATGAGACAACACACAGAGACCGTAATATCGTTCGAACGAGCAGTCGATTGGCTTTTCTCGCGTGTCCAAAATTATCGGAGATAGATGATCGGAAACAGATTATCGCGAGACAAATTGATCGTAAAATTGTTCTTAAATCGTTCTAAGATTTGAAATTGGACTTAAATCGTTTGACTTTTGGAAAGGTATTTTGGAAAGTACTAATATACGTTTCCGATAGCGTACTTGAGCTATTTTCGTTGGTACAAAAATTATTTTTAAAATCTCACAGTGAGAGAAAAGCATTCGTTATTTGTGACTATAACTGCGTAAAATATTTACGGTCAGAAGCTTCATTTTTATTATTGTTATAATTAGTTAGTAATAATAATTATATTTCTATTTCTAGCAAACAAATATATAGTCGACGCCAACAAATATACAGTTCAACATCGAAAATAATATAATCAAAATTATGCATTATGCTAAATTATGATAATTGCAACCATTCTTTTTTTTCAATGCAACAATCTTGTTTTACGCAAGAACGACTTTTCCGATTTTCAGAAAATAGAAAATGCGTTCGTTTCTTTAAAATCTATTGTAAAATCACTGGCGCGGGAGTTTCTTAGGGGGATCTCGCGAAATTTCGTCGAAAGCAGCGTTATCTCCGAGAGGATGAATCATCCCTAATTACACGACAACAATTACCTGTTGTCGTAAGTTTTCTTTCATTTCACAATGGGCGTTCGCGCGCGTACCACGTACTTCGCTCCGTGTACGCGGGTACCGGAAGTTTCCTCTCTCTCTCTCTCTCCCTCTCCTCACGGAGAGAAATTTGCGAGCAAACAGTTATTCCAAAACTCGAGTTATTACCTCGTGCTGGCAGCGCCCGTTATATATGCAGCCGACCAACCCCCGCCGCCCCCGGCGAACTTTCCGCGCCGAATTTATTGTTATGCAGTAACTCCGATGCGAGAGGCGAAGTCTCGTCGGGTTCAACGCGCCTTACCCGCGATGAACTTTACGCTTTTAATTAACAGCACTTTTCCCGCACGCGGGACTTATGAAAATTCCGCGGTCGACGGCCCCGCGGTTCTCAACCGCGCTGGTGACGCGTCGTTGCAGGGTTCAACCTATAACTTCGAAAAGTATAGAAGAAACGTGGCCGCGCATTCAGGTGCGAGCGTGAGGTGAACCGGGAATTTCGTTTGAGGGACCGATGGCAAATGGGAAGAGAGGCTCCCCGGAGTAACTCTCGACGGAGTTGCGTTTATAAATAAATATTTTTCGAGTTGCAAGGAGGATTATTTGTCGCATCGCGTGCATACCGAAAATTGAACACGCCGAGAACTGCAGTGAACGCCGGATTCGGTTCCTCCTCCGAGTGCGACAGACGTAACCAATTTTTATTTCTTTTTTCGAGAACGTATCCTGATTCGTCATATACTCGAAGCCCTCGAAGGGAGGAGATACTGTACGCGTGCACATGAGTCATCATGTGCGGCGCGTGAGTCAGCGCGCCGAGTTACGGAGCGACGTGAAGGAAGGAACGAGAGAACGGACACGGGTATATTCGTTAATTTATATTATATACCCTCGGCGTTATATATCGGCCCCACTTGCGGAAACACGTATAGCCGTGCGCGAGAAACGGCGCCGCGCCGTGTTCCGAGGGAAACATGCCGGACAGGCACGCGGCATTATTAGTTTCGCATAGCTGAACTCGATTTATCCTTTCGCGTCCGCCGCAGCTCGGCATCCGACAGGTAACGTATTCTCGTCGGTCGTTTCACGTGGCATTTTCTAAACGAGAGAGAGAGAGAGAGAGACTACGGGATCGGCGTTCTATTACATGTACCCAGTAGTAGCTTCCCTTCCCCTCCCCTTTCCTCCCGCCCTTACGTTTGAGAATTTTCCCATTGAAAGAAAGAAGAGGCGGAAGGCGAGGAAAAAGTTTGCACAATAATGCAAACAATACAGCGCGCGTGGCTGTTGAAGAAAGCATGATTTGTTCCGTAAACGGCTGCATAACTTTGCGTAATACGACGTGCAACGCGCGAAGGATACATACGCACGTAACGCGGTACAGAGAGTAGAATTTGCCACGCGATATCTGCAGCGTCTCGTGTGTTCCGTCTCTCGTTTTTCGTGATTCGTCGGTAGGAATCACGGTTTTCCTTCCCTCTTCACGGAGAGCCCCGATGTGAAACAGCCGGAATTACGGAAGCACGCGCGAGCGCGCGGCGTACATGTTGGCCCAAATAGAGCATATAAATTCGCTCTATAGAATCTCTCTAGATTTTATGCACGTGGAACTTGGAACGCCATGCATTCCGTTCCTCGACAGTGATAAAAGTAACGTTCTCGCCTACTTGGCGCGGAAACGGGATGAACGAGCCGACACGCACGGGGCGCTACCGCAGCCTCACGGAGCCTCGCCTCAGTCTCGCCTCCATACGTAACAATGGAACCTCCATGAATCTTCCATCATATATGACGGGACGTGTGATCACCTTACCGGGAACGGGAGAAAGATTGCGACCGGCGGAGTTAATTTTATCCCGAAGAGAAATGTCCGTAATTCTCGCTGCGTGTTCCAGCATGAAACACAGATGTGTCTGATCATCACCTCCCATTAGCGTCGCGTTTAGTCGCGCAAGTTCGCGAAGCTCGTTCCCGCAACTGTGCTGCACTCACGTACAAGTTCTTTTTTTTTTTTCAAGTTTCTTTTTATACATCACTTCTTACGTTCGTTTATATTACGCTCTTTCAATTCAACAGTACAAATTTAGCGATTGCTCTTCGAAGAATCGTAAAAGGTAGCAGTCTAATAAAGTAAAACTATATGTGGTCTCGAGTGCTCTCGCGAATTTATGGATCGATGGCTGCCGTAATAAAGATCGAAAACGGCGGCGAAGTGTACGGGCTTCCTTGAAAATATGGGAATACGCTCTATAAACGGTTTCACTCCCCCATTTTCAACGTAGTCTATCAGCCATTAATCTACGATCTACAGTTTAACGCAGGTTCAGAGGGCGACCGGGGGGGAGAGGAGGGGGGACAATGGCATATGTATAGACCCCGGCTGTCCCAGTAACTCTTCGTCGTGCGATTTCCAGTGAAACTACTACGCGGCTACTATCGACTTGTTCCTGTTTTCGAACTCTATCACAGGCGCCTCCTACTGGACACAAACAAATTTCTCGTAGCTCCTCTTAAAGAGCTTAAAGGGGTCTGCTCGAAACGGCAAAAATGAGGATCTCTTCACGCGGAGACGCCCGAGATAAGGAGCGTGGAATGTAACGCGCGCGAGTCGCCACGTATAAAACTAACGAGGCTTATTTAGAAAAAAAAAACTAGCACCGCGTTGAAACTATGATTGATCGAACTTTTTTTGAACGGCGCGGCGATCGTGGTTTTTACACGATCCGAGAAGCTTAATGCAGCTGAATCTGATATTAAAACAGTAAATTGACATTTTTATAAAATTTTTAAAAGTAATAAATATGTAACAGATCCTTAATTCTCATTAATGTCAAGCGGAATGTTTAACAGAGTGTTAACCCAGTTTGACGGCCAAGGTATCTAATATTAAATACTGAAAAATCAGTGAGAGAAGGTAGCCGATCAAAGGAGATACGCTCTATATAAGCCAATTATTTACTTCAAAGGTACTGCAAAATAGTGCTGCACCTGATAACAAAATTAATGGCTTCCATGGAACAATAGACGCGCAAGAACTCTGATTGAAAGTCTCGGAAAGGAAGGGCGTATTTTTCTACCGGTACTTTTCAGAGGTCTCCGAGGAACTCCCGAAGTCTCTCCGCCACTTTTTCGAGCCGGGCTCGCACCAGGAGACCTCGGTAGGACAACGAAGCAACGTGGAAACGCTTAGCCCCGTTAATAATCCCGCCTTCGTTGTGTCAGGGGGAGAGACAGAGAGACGCGGCCGACTTAGCCAACGTGCCGGGGACACCAGCCAGCCGCCACGGAGCGGCCGCAGGTAGCACGCGGGTTTTGCGCGCGGTCTTCGTGACAGAGTTAAAATTATTTTCGCCCAGGCTGGTCGTCGGTCGGTTAGTCGGCTGGCAGCTACTATACAGGGTGAAACCGGCGTTGGGCTCGCTAGCGTGGGACATTGCGAGCGAGCGGGCGGGCGGTAGATATATCGCGCGCGTAACCGTGTAAGAGAGCGAGAGGGCAGGGTGGGTGGGCGCACAGAGGGTGGTCGAACACGAGGAAACGAGAGGGTGGGTGAAGAGGCGA